TAGCAAAATAAACTCATTTCTAGTGTTGTTATACTGCATAAAGGTAAAAAAATTCTTGACTGTTTCAACATAAATGGCTTCAGAATCTTTACGGCTTTCTCTGCATGTCTATTTTTTGTGAATATTCTTCCTATGTTGCTAATAGGTTACTTATTCACTTCTTTCGAACTTTTTTCTACAGCCATTGATCATTAATGCTCTTGGTCCTGTTGGAAATGTTGCCATTGCACCATCCCTTGAACGCCCGGATAGAGTCTCCACTTCTGTATCTATTAGCAGCCTTGTAAGTTCAGCCTGCTGTTTTAGCTGCATTTTTTCTTTGGTGTTACCAGGATTCCTATTTCATTTGTATGTACTTCATAGGGTACCATGGACAGCAGCAGGCTTGTGGATGTTAAGCCACGAGTTTCTGATGATTCAGACAAGGTAAAGGGCTGGAAAATTCCTGACATTAATGACCCATCTCACCTGAAAGTCCTACGGTTATCTGATGCCATAACGGCGGGAAAGGTAGGCACTTAGAAGAACAATTGGTTGTCAGATTTTAGTGCAACTGTTTCTTTCGTAACAAACTTACTCGCATGATGGCAATGGTTATCTTCTTTCCTTGGTGGTATTAATTTGATATTTATTTGTGGGTCATTTAACATGTTTAACTTTTCAATCTTCTGTCGGATGAGATGCTTTGCCATGTTTGAACCTGCTACCTAATGCAATAGCTCATTCATGCTATACGGAGCAGGTTTTGAATCTGGCTTGATAATAGCTCCTTTTGTGGTATAAAAAATGCATCATCTCTCCATCCCGATGCATGCCAAGAATAAGATACTTTATACAAGTATTCAATAAGGGCATATATTTTAGTAGTTTTGCTGTTCATTGGTTGAAGCTGTAAAAGAGATGATATAAACACATTTGGAAGCATATTAATTTGTATATACGGTACCCCCAGCACTCCATTTTTCTTGAAGTATCCCTACTTGATGCCTGTGTTCTACATTTACTCGGAAATTGGTATAGGGATATGATCCTCGGTCCTTCCAAATACATGGAAATCTTGAAAAAAAATTGAATATACCATGTTAGACACATACCCATGTCTATTACTTGCACATGAGTCTGAGTAACATAGGTTTAGATCATTTTTGAAAGTTGAGAACTTGAGAAAAACATTTAAATGACTGGATGCTATATCTTTTGTTACATCCATTATTTTCCTTTCCTAGATATTCAATTCTAAGCAAAACTATCATATTTAGTCTGTTGTTACATCCATTATAGGAGGAACGGAGTACATGGTCATCTATACATCGTTTCTTTTAGTCTCTTCCAACATGCTTCGGGATAATAGCATAATTTAAAAAATTAGACTGATGTGATATATGCATTCATTTTTACTGTTTTAATGCTTAACCTGTAGGTCCTGTAGTGAGAAATTAAGTTAAATTGTATCATTTTTTTAAGTTAATTTGTGCACGAGGTATGGTATGCCTTATGCATGTATAATCTTTTTCTATTCAGAGACAATTGTTCTATATTTGTGTCCAACTTTTAGCTTTATATATTTCCGTAATTGAGGGTCGGTGACCTTTAATTGCAGGTGGTTAGGCTGCTGTATACCAACTCTGGTCTTGCTCTTTTGGCCCTTGCTTCGAATGCTGTTCACAAGCTTTGGAAATGGCAACGCAGTGAAAGGAGTCCCTTAGGCAAGGTTTGTCTCGTGTCTCTAAATGAGAAAATCCGTATTTCTTAGTTATTAAACACATATTTCTAATAGTTGTCCATCTCTAATCCTTGAAGGCTACTGCGTATGTTGCACCGCAATTGTGGCAGCCACCTAGTGGCACTCCTATGACAAATGATATAAACGAGACTAAACCTGCTGAAGAGTCTGCTGCATGTATTGCATTATCTAAAAACGATTCTTACGTTATGTCCGCATCAGGAGGGAAGGTTTCTTTGTTCAACATGATGACATTTAAGGTGATTTTTCACTTAAAACCCGTGCTTGATTTTATTTGTTCATTGAAGTTATCCGCACGACTTATGTGGGTTAATTCTTAACAGGTGATGACCACCTTTATGTCCCCTCCTCCGGAGGCCACGTTTTGGCATTTCATCCCCAAGACAATAATATTATTGCGATTGGCATGGAAGATTCTACAATTCAAATTTACAATGTCCGAGTTGATGAGGTGAAGTATTATTTCTAGCTTGGATTTCTGTAGAAACTATCTTGTTAACCTCCTTCATTCCCCTAAGTATTAGAAAACAAGATTTTGTTTCCTTGTTAACCTCCTTCATTCCGCAAGATTTTTTGTTAAAAAAGGGTTGTGATGAAAGGTTTTAAAATCATTCAATCGTTTAGTGGTTTCTGAAATGGAAATGCTAAAATATTTCACGTGAAGCTGAAGCTCATTGTAGCATCCCACTAATAATATTAAGTTTTTGTATGCCATTGGATGTTTTTTGGCAGGTCAAAACCAAACTCAAGGGCCACCAAAACCGGATAACCGGACTTGCCTTTTCGCAGACTTTGAATTCTCTGGTGTCTTCAGGAGCTGATGCGCAGGTTAATTATTTATTGAATGAATACCGTATAAATCAACTTTAGTAGATATATCGATAATTAAATGTTGCCCTTGTATTTAGTGTCTTCAACTTTAATGTTAATCGAGTATACTATGTTGGACACATACCCATATCCCTGATTCATCCCCGGGTCCAAGTACCATGGGACAAGTTTAACCAATTTTTTTAGTATGACTTTGTTTCCCTTGCAGCTGTGTGTTTGGAGCATAGATGGATGGGAGAAAAAGAAATCGAGGTTCATACAAGCACCGGCTGGTCGTCAGTTTCCTTTAGCGGGAGAAACCAAAGTCCAGTTTCACAATGACCAAACTCATCTATTGGTTGTCCATGAAAGCCAAATAGCCATTTATGACAGCAAGCTCGAGTGCTTACACTTGGTAAGTTGTCTACCTCACATTATTTTCCTTGTATAGTAATTTCTCATTTTTCATTCGGTTGTACCTGTCTGGTTGAAATTCCGAACTTGAATTATGCTCTGACGATGACGGGTATTTCGAGAATAGCTAAGCCAATATCAATGATCTGGAGAGACTTATGCCTTTCAATCTAAAATATGAATACATAAGTCAATATTGAATTAAAAATCATGTTTTAATCATGAAATTGTTGCTTATTTGCAATATGATACAACCGACCGAAGTCGTGTAAGTGGTTATTTGCTAGTTGAATGGTTTTAGTTCATAAATTTGCAGAACCACAATGAGTTTACTATAACAGTGTAGTCGCACGAGATTTTAGTAGTAGTCTGTGCATGATGATAAATCATATATATTGTTTTTTATTCATTTTCGATATCCTTTTGAGAATTCTTCCGATGATATGATATTCTTGCAGTGGTCTCCGAAAGAGGCGCTCAATGCTCCCATTTCGAGTGCAATATATTCCTGCGATGGCTCACTGGTTTATGCTGGTTTTTGTGATGGCGCTGTTGCAGTTTTTGATTCAGACAACTTGAGACTCAGATGTCGAATAGCGCCTTCCGCGTATATACCTTCGTTACCCGTCAGGTGAGAAGCTCATGAATATATGATAATTTTACAGACAATGGTTAAACACTGCTTCGCTGACCAAAAAAGGAAAACCAACTTATCCGCAGCGGCAGCAATGGTGCAGCATATCCCGTGGTCATAGCTGCTCACCCATCGGAACTGAACCAGATTGCTCTGGGGATGAGTGATGGGGCGGTGCACGTGGTCGAGCCCTCTCAAGATAACGGGTACCAGAATCCTTCGAGTTCATCAAATCCTTCATTAACTGGTAAACAACCAACAGAGTTAGCTAGTAGGTAAAAACTAATGTAGGTCGAAAGTGTTCTACTTTTGTAATCAAATTGCCTTTAAAATCACTCCCAATGTTATTTAATATTCGTTGTATTTTTTTTACCACGTTGGTTGCTTTTGCTTTCCCTGCTTTTTTATTTATTTACTGTTAGTATTTTCCATTTTTACCACGCCAACTTGACGATTTATGCATGCAAAGATTATCCTTTAATCAATAAAAAAACGGAACAAGAAGCTCGTGTTACGTTGATTTAAAATATATTAAATATTAAATTTGTCATTGAAAGTGTTTCTTTCGAGAAATAAATACTAGCGAATAAACTTCTATTGCATGATTGTCTACTACGTTCTGAATCATAATAAAATTATTAGTCATTAGATTTTGTACCCCTTTTTTTATAAAATAATCATATTAGGTAATACGAATTAAGTGATATTAATGGTTAAATGAATATTGTTTATCTCTAGAGTTTCGGGTTTGAGCAAATATTGTAGAGTGTTTGAGCGTTCATTGTCAAATTTTCAATGATGATGTGATATTATCTTATGTTGACCAATAAGTAACGTTTGATAAGATTTAAAATAAAAGATAGTTGAGTGATCAAAATAAAATAAAAATGATAGGTAGGATACTAAACTTATAGTTTGCCCTAAAATATATTTAAAAGAAAAGGCGAAGAAAAATTTGAACCAAATGATGCTTTTCTTTTGTGAATTTTGTCAAATTGAAAATTCCGAATTTGATTTTAACTTAAAAATGATTCATTAATTCCAATTGTCTTAATTCAAATCTAATGACTTTGAATAACTCAAAACTAAAAAAAAAAAATTAAGTTAAATCAGATTTTGTTCACCCCTACTCTCTCTTATTTTTTTCCCTTGTCCCCTCTTCATTTTTGAATCCCGAACCAATGTGTTTCAGTTTTGCTTCTCATCATCATCTTCACTCTTCATTGAATTCTGTGGCAACATTTGCAAGGCTGTTCTGCTGCTCTTCCCAGATGGGTGCTGTAATTGCAAAACCAAAAAAAATGAAATTATTAACACTAAAAGCACATTTTAAAAGCACTAATATTTTATGTAACAACCTCTCACCTTATTATCTTCTTTGTTCTTCATTTTCTCACTGATCTCTAGTTTGTCAAACATCTTGTTTAGCTTCCTTAGTTGTCTTAAACTCAAACTTTCCAATTTCTGCTTCGCTAATTCCTTCTCCACAATGTTCTCCTTGTTAAGGTTATCCGACACTTGGGTCACCTTGGCTACTACTGTTGTCTCTTTCTTGTTTGAAGATTTACTTGGATGCGAAAATTGAGCTTTTGATGGTGACCACAGTGGCATTGAGGTTGTAATAGTCTCACTGTTTGAGACAAGAGTTGTGTCTGCAAATTCCTCCGCTGGCTTTACGCAGACATTGATTAATGCTTCCGAACCACCATAGTTTACCCTCTTCTGAGCTATGTCGTCCACAATAGATTGGGAAGCACTGTGGAATGAACTCACAAGGGTGGTTTCAGCTTCGGTTACATTTGCATCAACCAATGCTTCTTCATAAACCATGTTTGTCTTGGGATCCTCATCCTCATCAGATTCTTCATTTACTGTGCTGCCACCATCATCAGATTCTTCATTTACTGTGCTGTCATCAGCAGTGATTTGCTCTTCAGCTAGTGATTTACTTTCAGATCCTGTGTCATTGTTGATGTCCGATTTGCCAAGGAATGCATCATCATCATTAGATTCTTTATTTCCCTTCTTTGCAGAGGAATCCATATGACCTTCTGCAGGGAGATCTGGAATACTTTGAGCATCAGCAGTGATTTGCTCTTCAGCTAGTGATTTACTTTCAGATCCTGTGTCATTGTTGATGTCCAATTCATCAAGGAATGCATCATCATCATTAGATTCTTCATTCCCCTTTTCTTCTGAGGAATCCATATGACCTTCCGCAGGGAGAACCAAAACGTTTTGGGATACTTCAGCATCAGCGTGCTCTTCAGCTTTCGCAAGTATGGTTACATCATCATGTATTGCCTCCATATCTGCTGCTGATGAAGACTGATCAAAAACTTCTTCAGGTACATCCTCGGCATTTGTAATCAGTACTTCAATTGATTTAGTCTCATCAACAACCGGTTTCTCATCAGCAACATGATTGGTCTCATCAGCTACCAATCTCTCATTTAAGTTCTCGATCTCGCATGGATCATTGGAAACAGCAACATCATCAGCCTTATCAGCTATCAATTCCTCATTTAAGGTGATGGAATCTTCAGAGACAGCATTACCATCAAAATCTGCAAGTGTGACAACAACCATTGCCGAAGAGAATTATAAATGGATTGAAAAAACAAATTCGAAAAGAGTTTCACATGTTTAAGACAAAGATAAAGAGTGGAAAATAATTAGTAGTATTCATACCCTTTGGATCTATGATTCCATGAGCATCATCTGCAATCTTGTCTTCACCTTCAATCTCAGTCTTCTCATTGCTTGTTCTACTATAAGAACCATCCTCAGGTATCAATTTCTCATCAGTCACATCTGTTTCTACATTGTTGACAGACTTGATGTTTTCTTCAACATCATCTTTGAATTCCCTTTCATCTTCAAGAGACGCACTTAAATTCCGAGCCAACGGTAGTTCTAATGTAGCTCCTGCAAATGAGATGATCAAATTAAAAACCTGAAAATGGAATCCCAAATTCATTCAAAGAAATAAACTTACCAGATTGACCATTGTTGCTTCCATCTTCACCTTCTACCATTTCATCAACCTTTGCAGGCATTTTCTCACTCTCCTTGATACACAATCCGGCCATGCTCTTCCCCAGCAACCTCACCGACCGCCTTGTACCGTAGACAGTCTGCAGTGAACCTTCTTTCTGAGCCCTGACTTTGCTCCTACCACTGGCCAATGGAGTCTCAACCATATCACTCTTCCTCTGATCCTTAACCTCAACCTCAGGCACATTCAAGTTCTTGTTTTCTTCTTCCACTCCCATTGTTTTTCTTGCAGTTTTTCGGGTTCGGATGGTTGATTGTGTGCTTTGATGTTCATCCTTGATAGGTTTTCTCCTAGTTAAAGTCCGGGTAACAGTACCAGGAATTTCCTTGTTCACAGTCTTTTCTGGGGATTGAGATTGATTATGCAGCTCCTCAAGTCCTTCAACCTAATCATTAACACAGAAAATGAATCTTTTCCTATGAACATTTTTCTAGTTTCAAGATAATGATTATTTTTCCTTTGAGATTAACATCAGGTAAATGGGTTCTTAAAAACACAGTTTATTTTTTTCCCAAATAAAATGATTGATTTTCCCATGTTTTCTTGGCAACCAAACAGAATCTGTTCACAATAAAAAATCCAACAAGGGTTATTACTATGACACCAGGTAAATGATTATTTTCATCTGATATTAAAATCTGGTAAATGGATTCTTGAAAACAAAGCTCATTTTCCTTTTTCCAACAAGATTATTGCTTTCCTCATGTATTCTTGGCAACCAAACAAAACTCGTTCATAATTAAAGAATCAAATAACGGTATACCAGGTGAATGATTATTTTTCATCTGATTTAAAAAAAGTTCATTTTTCTTTTTGAATAGCATTATTGATTTTCACATGTTTTTCTTGGAAACCAAACAAAACCAGTTCATGGTTAAAGAATCAACTAATTGTATACCAGGAGAATGATTATTATTCACCTGATATTAAAACCCACAAAAATTGATTGTCATAAGATTGAAACAAAGAATAAAAAACGCAAATCCAAAAGAGCTTTGAAAAAAAAAAGCAGAAGAAAAAACGAAAAAAAAGGCTTACCAGCTCAAGAGCGTTGAGAGCATCAGCCATGGCAACGTTAGTAATGTTGGCTGGGATTTTGTTTCTCTTGCAAAGAAACTGAAGCTCTTTCCTTGTAAGGCTTTGGAAATCCATTTTTTTCAAAGATCAAAGTAAAAGAAACAAACGAAGAGTTTGTTGGCTTGTATGGTTACAGAGAAATTCTTTTGGGTGAAAGAGTGAAGAAATGCGGCCTTTTAAAGGTGTAAATGAAGGAAGAAAATCCTAGATCATATGACCGTTGGAGCGGCTGGATTTGAATTTTGAATTTAGGAATAGGATGTTATATCTTTTAAAAATTATATGAATTTACTAAAATCCAATAATAAAGGTTTCCTAAATAATTAATCACATGAATTTCTTCCTATTTTATCCTAAATTATATGAATCTCTTCCAATTTTTGGAAGAGAAACATTTTCGTATAATTTTATGTTTTTTTCCTTGAATGGGAATAAATTTAACCAATATTTAAAATAAAAAACCAATTATTCAAAAATAAATTTTCAAAAAAGAATATTTAAAAAATAAAGAAAACAAACAAAAAATCAAATTAGTAGTATTTTCTAAGACCAATATAAATGATCTAGACAGTTAAATCAATTTATTGTATTAAATATTAGATAACACAATATCATATAAAAATAATGAACATAATAACATCCAATCAGACGTTGGCCTCCGCCAATTATTCTTTTAAATATTAAGTAATATTAAAGAAATATATATTTTTAAAAATAAATAAAGAAAAATTCACTAGACTCTTCTCAATTAAAAAAAATATTATTTATGTAAAATAAAAATTACTTTAACCCTGCTATAATAAATTACTTATGAAGCTCGCTATCGATGGTTCTAGAAAATGTTTATTTGTTGAACTGAAACTTATTCTGATTTTTCTGAAAGAAGACGACATTGATTACGTATGACGAAATCCTTATAAATACAAGTGGTTAGAAAATTAAAAACTGACGAAAACTTTCAGAACATACCACATTATAAACTTTCATCCCAAATGAGAAACACTGATATTAACACAATAAATACAATAAAATTTCTAGAACTACTTGATTTATGATTCGAGAACTTTAGGTCCAAAGCGAATTCATGAATTTTGTATTGATATAGAGTATTTCACAAAAGAACTCGTAATGGTAGCAATAAAACATTGCAATACGACACTCAAATTGATTATAAAATCAAACGGGCAGATGTGTTAAGTATAGTGACGAATACAATTGGATGAAGATCGTTAGTTATAATATACTATCAATATTTATTGTGGATGTGATATATTTTATGACATCTGTCAGATAACAAAATTTTTTAACATACGCTATAGCCAAGTCACTTAAAATGATAACATTTATAAAATTAGATATCTACGTTGGCTGAATAAAATTAAATACCTAAACGAGAAAAGATATATAATTTGAGGATTTTTTTTATATTAAGCCATATAAATATATAAGATAAAAATCAAAATGCACCCTTTTTTATAGTACAATGACTTATGGAACACTCCTACTTATAAGAATAAAATTTCTAAAATATTCAAATTAAAGTATTTTTTTTAAATAAGTAAAATACAAAGTGCAATGTGGTATTGCACGACGTGATCCCAAGTTCATGTCTTAATTAATGTTCATTTCAATCATTTGTGGTTATGTTTTAGATTTAGTTCAATTTTCAATATAAATATTTAAATATATTTTAATATTTGATTCTATTGTATTATTTTTTTCCAAAATTTGTAATTATAGAAGTTTTAAGTTATAATTATATTTACACTTATGTTTGTGAGTAGGGGTGAGTTTTGATCGAGTCGATCGAGTCGAATTGAGTTAAAATCTTTTGAGTTATTTGAGTTGACTATTCTTATTTAATAACTCAAATTTGATTTGAAACCTTTTTTTAGTCCAATCGAGTATATAAAATTCGAGTCAAGTTTATAAAATTCAAGTCGAGTTGCTTGGGTTTCTGTTTAAATTTAATTGTAATATTTATAATATTATGATATTATTTGATTTCAATTAGAATGATTTTCTATAACCATATACAATACATATATGTTTCTTCATATTTTTTTCACACGTCATATACATATATTATACATAGTTGAGAGACTCGATTCAAACTTGAAAACCAATCCACTAATTATTAAAAAATTTAAGTTATTCAAATTACTATTCAAATTGCAATTTATAACATTTTAGCCTTGAGCTGTTTCCACTGGTTTGCAACTGTTATTGTGTGGTCATTTTATTTGGAGAAATTCATGGGATTTCTTTACATTATTGTCCCTAGTTTGTTTATTTTTCAAACAATAGTCTTTTGTGATGTAATGGCTGAATCTTGGTTGAGAGCTCTATTTTACTTCCATCTTATTAGAATATTTATCAAGTAAAATTTGCTGTTACATTTCGCTTTATTTTGGCTCGTAAGTTATTTTTTCTAACCTCTTCTTTTGGGTTTTCTCAGTGATTGGTATACTTTGGAAAAGTCTAAGCGTGTGAAGGCATTTCGATCTGGGGAGTTTGATGATTGCATTGAAAGGGCAGAATCCTCACAAGAAAAGGGGAACATATGCTCGAAGGGAAGATGCTATCCGTCAGGCACTTGAACTTGAGAAGGAATTGTTGAGAAAACAAGGAAAATTAGATAGACCTTATGATGCAAGAAGTAAATCACCTACTTCTGCTAAAATGGATTCTGGTGGTTTCAATATTAGTAATGGGAGACCTTAGAACTCAAAATTAAATCAATCCTGGAGTCTGGATACTTCCATCAAGGATGAGATAGAGAGTAGCTCTATACACTTGCAAAACGACCAAGTTAGAAATCAACAATGTTGGGAAAATGCTCATTCTAAAATCCCCTGCATGAGAAGATTGCAGGACCTTGAGTTCAAGACTGCATGCATAAAGCAAGAGCTTACATCTATTGATGTTTTGGATGTTGATGGCACTACATCTCCTTCAAGCAGGGTTTCTAGCATGGGAAGAACCATGAACATTAATGGTAAATCTTCTTTAGATGAAAGGAAAAGATGTCACAGTAGGAACACTTTAACAACGTAGTGCAAAATTAGAAGTCCCTCATTCATTCATTTTTTTTTTCCTGCAACCTGACTTTGGTGCTTCTATTTCAGGAGTAGAGTGGATGGGAGCAAATAGGAGCAGATGCATGTACTTGCCTCCTGAATCCTTTGGTGTCTTGGATTATAAAGAAATTCCTCCCAATCAGATTGAGATATCACCCCCGTTTTATGGAATGTGATTCTTATCCTTCACCTAGTTACTTGATTGAAGGTAATATAAATGGGTTCTTGGAAGTTGTTGAATCCTGTTATTTTGAAACAACTTCCTCTGAATCTGAGTCAGGGTCTGATTCTTCTGAGACACAACCAGATATTGATGAGGGCATCACTATGCACTGAGGTTAACTTTCTCTCTCTCTCTTAATTCTAGTTTTATGCATTCTTTTGGGAATGTTATCTTGCATCCTAAATAAATGCTTTCTTCTACATGAAGGAAATTGCATGTCCCAGAGAGAGATGATCCTGCTTTTGCTGTTACATGATTTTCTTGTGTATATACTTAGTTTTGACCACTAATATTTTATATATTCTCATAAACAATCTCACTTTTCAGGAAATTACATTTCAGAAGATGGTAATTAGTGTTGCTTCACTTAATCTCCTCCAAATTAAGTATCGATATTGTTTTACTTAATGTCTTTTTTAGAACAGGTATTACATTGTTTCACTTAATATAGATTTTGGAAGAATAATCCTTAAAGTCGTCGTACTTGGAACAATTGTTGTTCAAGAATATTTAAAAATAATTCTCTTCGGAATAACTTTTACTGAGAACAACTCTTATTCGGGACAACTTCTATCAAGAACAACCATGCTGAGAACAACTCTTGTTTGTGACAACATTTACCAAGAACAACTGTGTATAAAAATTTAGGAGGCCAATATAAAAATTTGCATGAAAATAATATAAAACACAGAATTTTATTATCTGATTTGTGATCCTGCATATATGTATGTGTGTGTACTCTTTAATTTGACCTAATCAAATTGTAGGAACTTGAGAACCTCAGGGAAACCATGGCATCCTATGGTCCTATATACCCTCCACTGTACCCATTTTTTACTTGAGGAATTTGATGTTTAGTCCGGAAAACATCATGGCCTGTCTAAATATTGGTGGTAATCAATTTTCCTACGCTCTCTATTCAGGTGCTACTGTACAAATGGATGCTGTGAAAAGAAACAGAGAAGACAAGGTGTGTCACTTTGATCCAATATTCTCTGCCCATCATAATATTAGTGGGAAGACAAGATCCATGTTGATGATGTGGATTTGAAAGTCGAAGCAAGCTACCAAAAAGAACTTGTATCTATTATTTCATTGACGAGGAAGATGAACAAGAAGGAAATTGTAGGGCATCCCATTCAAATTGAAGCCCTAGAAGATGGTTCAACTGAGCATCTTCACCCCACAAATAAGCATCGCTAAACTCTAATCATCTATCCTTTTTGAAAAAAGTAGCATTGCCACCAACACAACATTTTCAGCACTGCACGGTATATATATGATTAACATATTCATTGCTTGAAACTTTTTGGTATAGTGATAAAAATGCTCCAACGTTTGCATAAATGATCACTTTGTCATCTATTTTTTTAGGAACATTTTATCCCCAAATGTTTTAATTTTTAATCAAAATAGACATTGTTGGATGAAAACCGTTAGTTGACTAACAATCAACTCATATTACTGACGTGACATTTTCACATGTGTCCAATTGATGACATGATATGTGCCATGTCACTAAAAGTGATGATATGTCATATGTCACATATGCCATATGTCACTAAAAGTGATGACATGTTACTGATGTGACACGTGCCACTTCAACAATTTGAACACATGTGGAAATACCACATCAATAACGTTAGTTGATCGTTAGTCAATTAACGACTTTCACCTAACAAGGTCGGTTTTGACGAAATTAGGCGTAAAATGCTAAAAAAAATATACTGCAAAGTAACAATTTATACAAATGTTGGGGAGTAAAGTTGTCGTTATGCCCAACTTTTTATAGGTTTTCACCTTTGCTGGACATCTGGTTCCGAGTAAGCAGTGGAAGAAACTTTTGGCAGCTGGGAACAGGTAACGAGAAACTATGCCAAAAGTAGGCAATCTGAAATTTGCATGAATATTTGGTTTCCAAACTATTCCATAAAAAGTCATAGTAAACATCCAGATTTTGTACTCTTGTCTGAACAATCAGGAAATGGATGTCTAGTTTATGTAAAACCGATGCAAGTAGATTTTGACAGGTAATATTTTATGAAAATAATTCCAACCAATGCTTTAATTTTATTACCAATGCGACAGATTTCTATGAAAAGCTTGGACTGTTTCTTGTAAAAGCTTGGATTAGTGGTTAAAGCCTATTAGTTGTTATTTAAAGAAATTTATTTTTATTATTTTACTGAAAAAGTAATGCATTGACTATATTTATGTCATGCTATGTGAACTTTACCACATGCTTTCAATTTAAATATTACGGTTGGAGCTTGTTTGAGTTTTGATTTTAAATTTGGGATAAATTTTAAATTTCATCACTCAAATTTGAACACACTCCTGTTCTGGTCATTAAACTTTAAACATTTTCAATTTGATCACTCAACTTTGGCAATAAATAGCGCGCATTATCAACCTTACCAGACGCTGTTGGAATTTGGAATTTATCTATGTACCTCGGCTAATCTGCTTTCGCTTTAACGGTGCTTTCATACTAAAAAAAGAAAGAAAAAAAAGCCTAATATAAAAATTGATTCCTAATTGAAATTGATAATTGAATCACATTATTTAATAAAATATAATTTCGTTTTTTGATAATTGAAATTGTTGGTTCTCGAAAATTATAAAATAATTTTATGACTTAAAAATTATAATTTTTAAAAAAACTATTTTTATGATTTAAAAATGAATTGTAAATTTCATACATTTTTTTGGGGGAAAATGATTTTCTAGAAGTAATATTTAGAAATATTGAAAAAAAATCGAAAATTACATTTTAGTTACGCGTGAAAAGTTAAATCAGATGATTTTCATGAATTTAACATGTTATATTAATTTTTTAATGACAATAAAGGCGTGATCGATATTACGTAATAAAATTAAATGTTTAATGTCCATGATGCAACTTTTTTTTAAATTTAATGTTTAAAATTTATTTTAATATAGTTTAGTGACAATTACCCTATAAAATTAAAGGTAAACTACATAAATGGTTCATCGACTATATGACGTTGCTTTATTGAGTTTTCCGATTATTATAAGTTATAAAATTGTAATTCTACTATATAATATTATTTTATTGAGTCTATCGACTATTAAAAGTTACTAAATGGTCATCTAACTATTCTTATGTTCCAAACTCATATTTTTCCGTTAAAAATTTGACGATTGTCTGAGCTGAACGTTATTAACATGCTGACTAAGATATGATACTCGTTTGAGATTTTGGGATCATATTTTGATCAGCAAATTAATGTCCAACTTAGATTGTCGTTAAATTTTTCACAAAAATAGACGAGTTTAGAACATATGAATAGTCAAGTGAGCAGTTTATAATTTATAATAGTAAGAGGATTCAACAAAATAACATTCTATAATCAGAAGACCATTTGTGTATTTTACCCTAAAATTAATGGTGCCCAAATATTTTACAATCATTCTATTTTTTAAAATAATTAAAAGAAAATATATATTTCAAGGTTTCAGATCATTTTTATTAATACAAAAACAAAAATATTATATAATATACGAATCGATTATATCACATGCTTAATCTATAGTATAAATTTCAAATAAACTTATTATCTGCTTTAACAATTTGACCCATTCCAACGCCATCTTTGCACCTTTTCAACGCCGGCAGAGTATCCAAACTGCCAACCACCAAAGAAACCGGCCAAGTATTTTCCGATCAACCGATTTGGTGCTTTTTATGGGCATCTCCATGCACGAACCCCGGATTCTCTACGGGAAGCTGAGGCTGTGCCAGGGTTATGCCACCTTGTTTCGGACTCAGTACATTGCTGGCATCCTTCCCTTTAGAGTTGAGGGTTTCATAATATAAGACTCCGATAAGAACATTTAAAGCGGCCAAAATGGCTCCGGCGGCAAACACTCCAGGTTTGATGACATAACAGTTGTAGACGCCGTCTCTCACAACCGCGTCGTCATGTCTTTCGTTGAGCTTAACACCAATTAGCAATAGACCAAGAGCTATTATAAACGTGATCCTGCGGGTCAAAACTCAGTAAACATTGCTGTTGAGGGAAAAAATAGAGAGGAGAAAATAGAAAATAATGTGTTTGAAAATTACGAAAAAACAATATAGAAGCAAAAGGCATTAGGGCGGCGCTCAGATGAGGCGTGCGGTGGAGCGGCTCTTCTTTTGCAGCAAAAACAGCCGGTGGCGAAATTAATTATTATTTTAGCGATGGAAAGCGTTGCGGCGGAAGTTATTCCTAGAAGAAGCGCAGGGCTACGAGGATACGAACATCGTCCGTAAACATCTACCTGTACTTGTGAAGCCTAAAATGGAAATTCAAATTAAAAGAAATTTCACTATCTTAGATTTTTCAAAATTGATGGTTTAATTATTATTATTTTACCTTAACCCTTGTGAATTCAGCGGCAAAGCCAGTAGCCACTGATATTATCCCCAATACGACCACGGTAATGCTTTTTATGTCCATCTCTCTCGCACTTTCCCGGAAAACTCTGAGATTTTCTGCTTGGCTGATGAGAAAAACGACAATATGTCAAACCTGTGTTTGATTTCTGAAACCAAATATTTACCGATTGTATATTGTTTGTGATGGCTTTGGGATGTAACTTATGCAATATTTATAGGACTTTTTATTAACAGTATCATATTATTTTAATAATATATATTTATGAAATATTGTTCATCTCTTCGGTAATAAAAAGGAAATGAAATTTGAACTCGTCAAACTGTCTTAATAGTTAAAAGAGAGTGTTATTATTATTGAGGTTTTAAATTCGAGCAGTTGATTACGTTATTAATGATTAAAAAAGATTCTGAACAAATATTACTTTTATAATCATTCCAGATTATTTAAAAAACTGAAATATTACTAATTATATTAATAGGGTTATTGTTTGATACGCTGTATTTTATATTAGATAAAGATATATTTTATTATTTAAGACATTGATGACAAAAAAAATTCTTTATTGATGATTTTAAACTATTATCATACAATTTGTTAAATTTTTTATTAGTCTGAAGTAAATACAATGTAATATATGTTTAAAGACTCTTAATTTTTAACATTGAATACTCATGTTCATGCATATGTGGTGTTCAAATCCGGGACCTTAAGGCTAAAAAAATAACAATAATTTGTTAACTACTAACGTTGTTTGGTTCGTGTAATTTTTAAATATTAGTTAAGAATAGATAATAATAAATTAAAATCATTTTTTTAAAATTATCATCAATATTTTGCTTTAATTTTGAATATTTTTGTAACTTTTGATAAATTGATGATTTACATAATAAAAAAAAATTGATATCGCATTTGTTGTCTTATTGTACAATGATGTATTTTATCCTCTTCCTCTCTTCCAAGGCCATGCAACTGTAAACATTTTAAAAAATATATATGATGAATTTGATAGAGTTGACTTCCAAGATTAAGCCAAAACTCCCCATTGGGTTCTTCAGCAAAATAAACGACAAAGATTTCTCATGTTTTATAAAAGGGTAAATTACAAATTTCATCACAAAATGTTTTCTCACTCTTATTTTGTTCATTAAAGTTTAAAATATTTTAATTTACCCATTGAAATTTTGATTTATTCTTATTTTGGTCGCTCTATTTTTAAATACTAAATGACATCATGAATGAACATTTTCTTTTAAAAATTATGAAATTACCCCTAAACTTTCTTCTTTTTTGTGAAAAAAAAAATCATTGCTTTCATATTACTTTTGATTTCTCAACAATGAATCATATTCTTCCTAATAATAATAGTGGGGAGGCGGAGAAAGAGGAAACAAATTGTATATCTTAATTCCATGTTGGTTGAATGATGGGTATTATATATATCAGAGTGGTTTAAGGTTTCATAAGTTTCAAATTTGTGGCTGAGTTTTAAAGTGGTTTTGGAAAAATATAAACGGATAGAGTAGTAGGAGATAACGAGTAGAATATCTTGAGTGGCTGAAGGAGACGCCGAAGAATGATAATTACAATGCTTGCATGACACTGTGATGAAACTGTAAGACTTTTAACTTTGGAAGAAGATTATAAAATCAAAAAAGAGAAATATGACATGGATAACACATGGAATCCATGTCAATAAAAAGCAGTTAGCACACGTGGCTTCCATGTCACCCTTCCAATTATGATTTAAAACTCGAGTGACTGAAATATGAGCAAATCAAAAGTTTAATGAGTAAATAGGCTTAATTACCAAAAAATGCCCAAATTATATTTTTTTTCACTTTTGGATGCCTTTTTTTTTGTTAATGTAGGTGTCTAACATTTCAACATTACCACTTTAAGTATTTGGTTTGTCACGATCGTTAAAAAATCTCATCAATCCCTCAAATTATGACACCTGGCGCGTTTATAGTTTTTTTAAAAAGTTAAAAATTTTATTACTTTTTTAAAAAAACTCAAAAATTCTCTAAAATCCAAAAAAAAGTCCCAAAATATTTATTCTCAAAGCATTAACCCCACTCATCGACTGTACCATGTCTTTGTCGTCCCTACTAACTACCTACCCACCCGTCGTCGGCCCATCATCCCCTTGTCGTAGGCTCGTAAGTTCAACCCTCAAAATCCCTAAATCCTAAGACCTAAATCTTAATCAGATTAGAGCTACATAGGGGCTGTGGATGGTGGTCAGCAGGTGAGTAAGTGATCATTGGTAGGGTTTTAGGGATATTTTTGAAGTTTTATGAATTTTGGAGTATTTCCTGAAAAATAAGAAAAATTGTTTTTTTTTCAATTTATGAATTTTATATTTAAAAAATTTACAGAAAATTAAAAATTAGGTCACATTCCAAACAATGATTGGTTGACTAACTTTTAACGGTTGTGACAAATTAGACACTTAAAATGGTAGCGTCGAAAACATTAGGTACCTACATTGACCAAAAAGAAGTTTAGGCACCTAAACAAGAAAATAAGTATATACAGTTTGGGCATTTTTATATTAATTCGAGTAAATAAATTGTTGAAAATATTTTGATATTTCAATATAACAAATTAAGTTAAATGAGTTTTAAGATTTTCCAAATAATTTTTCTAAGTATATTCGATAGAATTATTCGAATATCAAAACATTACTCCAAATCTTTCAAAGATCATTTTTAATCCTTACTCAAAGTGTAAAATTAAGTTTTAAACTTAAAACAATTTCAAAATAATTTTACAAAGTATTTCGAACCATTTCAAAGCCAAAAATTCCAGATTGCTCAGAGGGAACAGATTCCCCCCTAAGGGGGTACCGATTCCCCCCTGAATGGTTTGGCTCCGAGAAATCCAGAATGCTCAGAGGGAACCGATTCCCCCCCAGGGGGTACCGATTCCCCCCTTGTATAACGGTCGAAATATTTAAATTTTACACTTAGGGAACCGATTCCCCATAGGGGGTACCGATTCCCCCCACGCTCCAAACTGTTTTATTAATTGTTTTCACACTAAAACGGCTATATTATTTTCTCTAATCATCCCCAACGTTCAGAAGTGATTCAAGGTGTATTTAAGCAAGCTTAGCAGCCATTGATCAATAACAAGAAACATCAAGCAATTAGAATCAAGAGAGAATCAAAGAGAAAGCATCAAACCTCAAGTTTGAGCATTTCAAGCCTATTTTTCATTCAATATTCATTTTGCTTTCAAGAACACTTATTGTGCTCAATTGTATTTATTCTTGAGTGTTCTTTCTTTGTTCTAGAATTGTGCAAACATATTTGCCTTGTGAGGTTTTTCTTGTAAGTTTGCAAATTTGTATTTCTCTTTGAGAAAAGAGTGTTCTCAAGAATTGGGGTATATTCTTGAGGGAGTTGTAAGGTTATCTCTTTGGCCTCAAAAGAAAGAAAAAATTAGTGAATTTGTTGGAAAATCCTTAGTGTGAATAGCTAAGGTAGTGGAAGTAGACTTTGGTTGATAAAGTCAAACCACTCTAAATCGATGTGCAATTTCTTTCAATTTTCTGCAAAAGCTTCCACCAAAATTTTTATTGCCAATTCACCCCCCTCTTGGCCGATTCAGTCAATCGATTAACTCAACAATTGGCATCAGAGCCTAACTCATTTGAAGGTTTAATCGCCTCTTGAGTCGATTCGGGAAGAGTTATATTGATAATCAAAGTCATCAATGGCCTCCGCTTCAAACTTCGACTCCGGTCTCGATTCGATGCCCGTCAACAAGCCTCTTTTCTTCAATGGAGCTAACTATGCCTATTGGAAGAATAGAATGATGTACTTCATTCAAGCAAGTGACATGGGAGCATGTAATGCTGTAGAAGAATGATACATCAAACCTCTCACTCATCCAAGGTTGTGGAGTGAAGGAGAGACAAAAATGTTCTAGCTCAACTCCAAAGCCATCCATATCATTTTTTGTGCTCTTGGACCAGATGAATACGAAAGAGTTTCATCGTGTACAACTGCCAAAGAAATATGGGACAAACTTCAAGTCACTCATGAAGGTACCGATGAGGTAAAGAAATCTAAAATTAGTATTCTAACGCATAGCTATGAAAATTTCAAGATGAAACCAAATGAAGATATCAAAGCTATGACGGATAGATTTTCAACGATTGTAAATAGTCTCAAATCATATGGAGAGATCATTTCAAATGAAAAGCTTGTGAGGAAGTTAGTCTACTCCCTCCCAAAATCGTGGCAATCAAAGAAGACGGCAATCATCGAGTCTAAGGACTTAACGTCCTTAACTCTTGAAGAGCTAATTGGGTCACTCCTCACTCATGAAATGATGCTCGAAGATGAGGTGGACCTCGACAAGATTGACGAGACACCAAAGGAGAAGGAGAAGAAGAAAAACATTGGAGTTGCTCTCAAATCCACAAAAGATGAGAGTGATTCGAATGACGATGACGATGACGAGGAAATGGCATTGTTTGCCAAACGGTTCAGAAAAATGATGAGACCTTATCGAGGAAGAAAATTCAAACGAAATGAAGGCCTAAAAAATGAACCGAAAGAGAAGGACTCAATCATTTGCTACGAATGCAAAAAGCCAGGGCATGTCAAATATGATTGCCCACAATTGAAGAAAAAGGGTCAATCAAAGAATAAGCACAAGGCTCATGTGGCTACATGGAGCGATGAAGAAAGTTCCGATGAAGAGGAACAAGAAGTAGCTAACTTGTGCTTGATGGTATTTGGGGAAGATTCTAAGGTAACCTCTAACTCATCTGATTTTGATGATTTATCCTATGATGAGTTATTAGAGGAATATAATGGGTTGGCTTTGGATTATGAGAAATTATTTTTAAAATATAAAAATGATGTTTCAAAATTGAAAATTGGAAACAAACTCATATCCAAAACCAACAACGATCTTGAAAGTAAAATCAAAGATTTGCAAATCAAACTAGAAGAGTTTGAAAAGAAAAATTTAGATTTGCAAAATTTACTTTCAAATATCAATGATGACCATCAAAAGAAAATTGATGATCTTAAAACTTCTTTTGATAAAGTTGGAACAAAACATTTTGAAAAATGTGGAAATTCAAAATCCAACTTTGTTATAAAAAGTTTTAGAAACTACAATCATAGAGGTCCCCAAAGAACCTCTAATAGAAAAATTGTTAGAAGTATATGGGTTCCTAAAGAACTCATTACTACTAAAGATAAAAATATCCTACACAAATGGATACCTAAGGGGACTAGGATTTTGGAAACTAATGAATATGGACCCAAAAGAATTTGGGTACCAAAAATAAAAAATTAATCTATGTTTGTAGGGAAATGAGCATTGCTACAAGGCACGAGAAACAAATTCAAATTCATGGTACCTTGATAGTGGATGCTCAAGACACATGACCGGAGACAAAAGCCGATTCATTGAGCTTAACACCAAAAATGGAGGAGAAGTGACTTTTGGAGACAATTCAAAAGGTCACATTGAAGGTA